GGTTGTTCATGACCTTTCTCTATCTATGAACGGAGAATTAATTGTAGTTTTTTCATTATTATATTGAAACAATAAATGGCCAGAGATTTAAGCTTCTAGGAAGCTGTGTCTGGTTTTTTATTTTGCTTTTGTTAATATTCACTTTCATAATTTTTCTGTGTCAGTGTTTCATTCTCCCTTATTTTGGATAGGAAGGTAGCATTGTTAGAGTTCTGTGATGATATGCCTGTCATTGATGATATGCTTGGCATTGGTTTGAGTGCTTTGTTGCAGTTAGTTATATCCTATTGAATTTAACTAAAATGGACCTTTTTTATAGGGAGTTGGGTCAACAAAGACTCACGTTTACTTCTGAGATCAGTTTTGGTTCAGATTCTGTCAGATCATCATGTTGGTTTAGAGAACTGGGAAAGAGTGTAACAACCAGATCTTCATAGTATTTCACACACCACTCTGCAATTCTTAGTGTAAAATATGTATAGAGTAACACAGCTCTGTATTTTGCACCAGTAGATGCTAGTGAATGGTTTTGCTAATCCAACTTTGCTTCAACTGGATTTATGCTGTAAATATTATTGCTTACTGATAGGTACCAGACTGTGCAGGTTAGATGTTGAAAGGGCAATGTGTTACCTTAATATGGTAAAATCCTTCCTTAAATCTCGTGTGCTGGCTTTTTAAATAGAGTTATTTACTGTATATTTTGTTCACTGGTACTAAAGCTGAAGAAAGACTATTACAGTAGGTACCTCTGCTGTTTTAGTTAAAGCAAGCGCTACCATTTAATATCTTCTCTGCCAACAAAACTGAGTTTTCAAAGTTCTGGTTTGATAGTAACACTTGACAGACCATCTTCAACCTTCCAAAGATAATAGGTGGAATATATATCAAAGTAAATTCATCATTACCTGTTTGTGTTAACTCAGAGCTACTTTGATTGGCATATTCTTTTGTAAAAGGAATTGAGTAACTCGTGGCAAACTGTGATTTTTGTTGTGGAAACTGAAGCCTCTGACAAGAAGTTTTGTGGTGGTAGGATGCTTTTTACCATTTTTGCACTGGAGTGCCTGCTTCCAAGTTTTGGCCTGGGTGGATGTGTTTGACTAAGTTACCTAGTGGCTGCCAATCATCTACAGGTACAAAAACATATGTAGATGGAACAGATTTGTGTGTGATTATTATTTTATTTAATTCTTGATAAAAATGCATCATCAATACTTAAATCTTACTGTGGAAAAACTAGAACTTTTAGTCTTACTGAACAAGATCATTCTCTACTTTGATTTTTTTTCAAAATATTTCTGCTTAATTTTTACTCAGATAATTCTGAAAATCTCTTTGTAGAATGTAGATATGAATGTTTTCTGTTGCCAGAGTGTCATTTTCTAAATTATATTGTCTTTTCAACTAGATTGAAAGTGGTTTGAGTTCTCAACAGTTTTTAACCATCACTGTATTATGCTTAGCATGTACTAACCTTGCCACTGCTATTTTGATTTCTGAAGTTCTCAATTTGTTTAGAACATGTATGAAATATTATTTCTGTTGGTATTTCTGTCCCTCTCATTTTACTAACTGTTCCTTAAAATGTCATCTGTATGTGAAAGGAATAAGTAGCTATCAAGTTTTTATGTTTGTCCATGCAATCTTCTTAGATTGCCTTTATCTCAAAGAGAAAGGCTGCATGGCAAAGATAGTGCCTTTATTTACTAACCCAATATCAGAGGCTTACGTAAATGAATAGCAGCATTTAGAGCATCTGCATTATGACAGCAGTGTGGATATGTAGATGCTCTATATGAAGATGCTCTGTGGTTGTCTTTGGGAAGAAATACACTGGTCTGCTGAACTGCTGCAAGCAGTCATATGCAGAGGAAGTCTTCATGTGTGCTATTTTTATAGAAATTTCAGACATCAGACCCTGTGTTATGGCATCAGTGGAAAGATAGTGAGATCTCATTTAAACACAATTAAAACATTAAGTATTTGAAAAGTGGGAGCTTGCATTCTGTAAGCAAAGCAGACAGATGATTTTTGATCAAGAATGGAACTCCTGGAATTTTTTGTCATTTTCAATTTGAGCAAAAAGAGACATACTTCGTTGATTCTCTTTTGTGTTTTTTTTGCCTACCCAAAGCTGTGTACTGTTAATCCTTGATCCTGCCAAAGCAGCTCTGTGTGGTATTACTGGGGTGATAGATTAAGGGTCAGAAGTGTTTAAGGAAGTTAGAGCAGGTTATCCTTGTAATCTTAGATGTGTAGTTAAGATTTCAGTTACACCTGCACATGTGAGTGTTTTCTCAGTGAATGAAATTGAACAGTTAAGGAAATGGCTCTAAATTCAAATTTTAATTCAACAAGAATTAAAAGAAGCCAACAACTTTTAGGAACAGTTCCTGTCTTCATAACTTTAAACTCACATTTTGACAGTCTTGAGATGGTGAGAAGCAGCTGTGACAATTTAAATGATCAAAATTTTATTTTCTTATGTTTAGTGCAAAAAAGTTCCAGTAAAGGTAGTTTTTGTGTCTAGAAGATAATATTTTCATAGGTGCATAAATATAAAAATATGACACAGTAGCAACTTTATATTTTGAGTTTCAAGATTTGAAACAGCAGTAATGATACAGCAACCTTATCTCTTTAATCTTTCTCCACTCCAAACAGTTCTAAGATTATAGATTAAATTTGGGGAGGTTTCCATTGGTTGCACATTTTCATGGTTAAACATTTTCATGTGTAAACATGTGTTTATTGCCACTACACCTTTTGCCTGTGCTGTAAGATTTCTTTGTGCTTGTATTTCAGTAGAAGAATTCAGGCCACATTGTGCTATTGTTTGTATTGGTATCTTCTGTTTATTTGAAATGTGCATTTCCAATTGTGTTCGTAGCTCCTTAGAAAGTGAGGAGAGGAGGTAGACAAAAATCCAAAGTCAATCAAACAGTTTCAGAGACATTGTACATAGAAGAGCCCAAAACTCTGCATATTTTCTCCACCCTGTTATTCTTTTTGAAAGATTTGCTGAAAGGCTAGAGCACAAAAATATACCACAGCATGTTTTTCTTTTATCCCATGTTCACTGAAAAAAATCTGTCTTAATTGAGTGTAAATAATTCTTTGCTGTTCTGTGTCTTGATCTTTCATTACAAATTAATTAACACTGTGGCTTTAAATTCACATAATATTTTAGGGTGGGACTTTCTGGACTTTATTTAAGTATCATGTCGGAATCTTGATATTATGCTAGAATACGTGATCATATCTGTGTTTTCTTTCTTTAAAGGTCTTTCAGGAGAATAAAGTTTGTTTTGTGCTTTAATAAAGACTGCATAATGCTATTTGTAGCCCTGCAGCTCAGGAATTGCCTTCACTGAATAACTTCTGAGACTTGGAAAGTGATGTAGACTTTTGGATTTGTGGTACAACTGTTAAAATGTAAGTGCTTCAGATAAGAAAATGGAAAGATGAGTTTTAACTCGTCAATGAAGAAAAAGAATAAATTGGTCAGAATTTGTTGAGAAGTAGGATTGTTTTTAAGGAAAACAGATGGAAACCCAGATTTGCCTGTTTGTTTAAGCTATCAAAAAAAAAAAAGCAGTCCTGTTTTTTAATAGTGTTGCTTTTGTTGTTTGATTTGGTTATGCCATGTCCACCCCTTCCTTCCCTTCCCCTTCCCTAATGATTAAATGCTGTCACAGAGTGTTTTGAGAATCAATCTGTGTGGAAGGTTTAGTGTATATGTATAAGTTCATTTTCCTTTAGGTCAGTCCAGGGGAAGACTTTTGAGCATGAGCTGATATTTGCAGACAGAAAGTTTGTTTTTGTCAGTTTTGTGGAAATGTTCTTCTGACTCACTCAGCTTTTTCTAAAAAGTAGTTTCTGAGCCTTGAATGTCGGCCTGTCTGAAATTTACACTGTGTTAAAAACAGAACACTGTATATTTTGTAGGGAAATTGAGTTGACTTCTTTGCGACTGGGTAAACTTGACTGAAATTTGTCTATTCTTCATGTGTAGGCAAGGTCACAGAAATCCTGGCACTTTTACTTTCCCTGCCCCTAATATTGTTAGTATATTACCTGACAATATGCATAAGCGCTGCTTCAAATGACATGATGCAGAACTTGGGTCTGAACTCCTTGGTTTTTAACACTACTGGGTTAAGTTTTATGGAAAAGGTAGAATGTCCTGATTTTAAAGGTGCTGTTGTCCATAAATTACAGGTGTTAATCTCATCTCTTTGAAAGGTTCACAAGATATATGAAACCTTTTTCCCGTGATCATAGCCCTTGGTTCTCACAGGTGGTGTAGAAAATAATGGGCAATTCTTTCCCAGTATGTTACAAATAAGACTATTTTAACAAAAGTAAATTGTTTAAATAAATTGATTGGAAGTATTATTGTTGATGCTACTTTGCATGTGCCTGAAATAAGTAAATGCAAACCTGTGGTTTGATTTGTTTGAACCAGTTCATAACTGTAAACATAGCTAGAACTAGGTACTATTAGTCCAGTTGGTACAGCTTTAAAGAATACCTTTTGAAGCTAATAGTGGAAGACAGTTTAATTTTCTGCTGCTTAGCTCCCATGTACTGAGCTTTCATCATATCTCATCTAGAGAGATTAGACCAAGGGGATAAAACTATTGATGTTGTAGATGTTTTGCTTTTGACTCCTGCTTTCTTCTGTTGCAGCTGATATTCATGAAGAGAACTGTTTATTAGCAGCTCTCTGTATTAGTAATTTGTTTTGGTTATAGAACTCCAGCTAAAAATTTGGATTTCTGGGGGAAAGAATGTTGAAGGGTTAATTTTAAAAAAGTGATGTTGAAAGAAAATCAAACATGAGTTATTTCTCTTCAGTGTTCTTGCTATGAACTCTCATGTATTTCATCTGTTTTCCTGCAGTTACTTTAACATACTTTACTGCAGTTTCATTAGCATAGTTTTCTTTTTCTGTCTGACTTTAATCGTGGTGGTGTTTTTTTTTTTTTTTTAATTTTTTTATTCAGGAAATACTAAAGGGTCTCCTTTTTGTCTTTAAATATAAATTACTTTGCGTTCCCCATGTCTCAATTTTCCCGTTGCAGTTAGGAGTGATGGATTAGAATTAGGCTGCAGCACAGATTGGTAGAATCTCCCAGCATCCTCTTCCTGCAGAGGCATCAGCTTCCAGCATTGACTGTAGCTGCTGCCACTCTCACTGACATTTTTTTTGAATTCGGCTATGGAGAGTGCCTCTGGTGCCTCTGTTGCTTAGCTGCTGGCATGGAAACTTTTATTCTTTTTGCCTGATAACTCATTAATGAAACCTTATGGATATTGAAAAATAAAACAGAATCACTTTTCTCTTTATGCTTTTCTTTGTCCTTTTGCCTTTTTTTTTTTTTTTTTTTTTTTTGGTGTGTGTGTGCGCACGGTGGAAAAGAGTGAAAGAAACAGCACTTATTTTTTCATAAGGACTGTATTTACATACCTGAAGTTAACTGAATTAATCCTGTAAGTACATTATCTCTGTCTAATAGTCCTTGAAATCAGTAATGGGTTAGTAAGATTTATGGGATTTTTTTTTCTGTGAAAATTTGCTTTGGAATGTGTGTCAAAATACAACATTGTTGTTTTATATAGATTTCCTTTTAGATAAAAGAAAAAGATATATTCACAATGGGATTATGAAATAATTGCTTTTCCTCTGCACTTTGCAGTCGTGAACAATGCTTTTAGAGAGCAGAAGCTTCTCTGCTGATATCAGTGCTTAATCAGCTCAGATACTGTAGGTTGCAGAACACTGCAAGGTGTGTATTTTGGGATTGTATTTTGGGATTTGCCATTCTTTAAAATGTGGTAATTTAAGGACTGTATCAGACTTAGAGCTACTTTTTCCATTTATAGACTATGTCTTCTGCTCCTGGTAGCTGTGCTGGTTTAACCATTTGAGGTTATATAATTTTTTACTTTAACATAAATAATTTATTTCATGGGGTGCAGTGCTTTCAAGGTATTAAATGTTAAGTATAATGCAGTGTGCTTTTTAAAGACTTTAGTTATTTCAGAATATACCTCCAGCATAGGCTGTAAGTTCCCTATGTAATAAATTCAAGTAAATTGCTTTGAAGTTTAGGAAGAGTGTCTTGCTAGGATCATGGTGTCCTAATTGTCTCTTTGGATCTAGGCCAGTATTTGTGTGACGCAGTGTTAGTCCCAAAAACATCTGGCCTGATCTGGTGTCCTACTTGCAGCATAATTTTTTTTTCCTCTATAACAAGATAAGTTAAATTTTTATTCATGTAATGTAAAACTGCCAGTGAACTGTTATTATTTCATGTATGTTAGCTCTTCAGGGAGGTTCCTTCTCAACCTATTTTCTTGTCAGCATGCCTTATTTGGACCTTCTTTCTAGCAGAAATGTTGAACAGATCAAAATTATGTAATTTTTAAGGTGAACATCTATTTGTCTGTATCTGCATGCTAATATGTTAAGTTTTGGCAGTATTACTCTCTGCCATATTCAGGTGATCATTTTTGTACACCGTATTGCATGCATTGACCTCAGCTTGATTATTTGATACAAGCAATTAGTCTGATAAGGAGGATACAAACATAGTAAATTCTCAGTTTACCTGCAAAGATCTCATGTTAAAACTTATATCTGAAAATACTGTCTAAACACTGAGTTCCATAAAATATATCTGATAATCTTTTATAGTGCTGTGTATTCCCATTAGTGTTGAACAGAAAAGTGTAAATTGAATTTTTCTTCTACTTGCAAACCAATATTGACACTTACTTGATTTTTCTGCCTTTGCAGTCAGACTGGTCAATTCTGAATGCCTGTGCTCTGATTGTTTTGTTGTTGATTCTAAATGCCTGTGTTTTTGTTTTAAGCTTTCATATATTTAGTGTCAAATTCATGCTGGAGTGGCTTGATAGACTTAAGTAAGATTATTTTGTAATCATTTTAGTGATCAGATTAACTATGCATGCCTATTCAGGTGGGTAAATAGTAACTCAAGGAGTTGACCTGTCTTGCTTTCACAATATGGCTGAGTCCTTACTGGAAATTTGGGTCTCCCCTTCTGTCCATGTGCAATCTGCCGCTGAACTTAAGAACTTGTTGTCATATAAAGCTGCTGACATTTCTGAGATGATAAAAAAAACACCTGACTTGAAGTTATTTGATTACATAATCAATTAAGTAATTAAAGTTCACAGAATCTGAATAATGATCAGTCAAAAACTGGAACACTTGGCTATGCTCATGTTTCCTTTTTAAAATACAAACAAGATAATAAAGTGTCAAGAAATGTAGCCTGTGTTATTTTCAGAGTAGTAGACTCTATTGGCAATGGCGGGTTGATGGTGAGCCAGCAAGATGAGCTTCATCTTGGCACTGTATCCTGTGGCACCTGAGATTCAAGCAGATGGTCAACTTAGTCTAGATTTTCTTCCTTTGTGCTTATTCTGTTGCTTTGTTGCAACTCTAGAGCAATATGTGCGGATACACCAACCAGTATTTTCTTGCACTGTTCAGATGCTATGTTGGTAGAGATATATAGATAAGTAAAATCCATGTTTTAAATAAGATAGATGACCAGGAAAGTTCCCTGTTTCATCATCCGTCCCCACCCCCTTAGTCATCGAAATATTTGGAAGCTAAACCTCTTGATCTTTCTTGTAGTCAACTGTTAGATTCCTGTGAGGCAGCGCTGTGGGTGCTGGGCTGCTTTCTGGCTGGAAGGCAATCCAGTGCATACTCTCTTAAGTTGGAGATTGCAAACAAAACTTACATGCAGAGTGTAAAGCAAATAAACATCCGTCTCCAGACACATGGTGATCTGAATTTAAATTTCCAAGATCAGATGAGACTTCTAAGATGGAATTTTTGTTTGTACAGAAATGTTTTGTTTGGTTGGTGGTCTTCTATTGCATTTCATTTGTAAGACAGCATTACAAATGCAGCAGCATTACTGCTGCTGTGAGCAGTAATAATTCCGAAAATAGAACATTCTCACTTGTAGGTAAATCTGTTTGGTTTGGAAGAACTAAGACTAAGACTTCTAGTTCTAAAAAGAAAGAGAAGGCAAACACTTTTCCTAAGTGTTTTCTAGCAGGTTTCCCCTGCTCCCAGCTTCTCGTCTGTAAGACAGAGCTGTATCTGCCATCCTTGCCCTTGCCTTGTTACATTACATGTAACATTATATCTGTTAATGTATAGCAAGGGATCAATTAAAATCCTCTCTCAGTGAAATTCCAGTAGTCTATGAAAAGCTATCAGCCTCACCTTTTTGACAATGCTAAGGTATAGCTAAAAACTGTGAAGTCATTCTCAGCTCATTTTAGTGTATATTATTTTAGTAATAATTGGTTTGCAATAGGAGCAGCTGTCTCCTTTCTTCTCCCTCAGTTACCTCTTCTCTTCTCTTCTCACTGTTTTTCTGAGACCGCCAACTCTTTTTCCACAGCTGTTCATTTTGAAAAATAGTTTTCAGTGCTTTCTCTTTATGTATACAAATGCGTAATATCAGCTAGCTAGTGTTTCTTTTTACTCTGAATTATCTTTTCTGACGCAGATGTAAAATGAGGGAGAAAAAATATTTTAAAAAATCCTAACCCAAAAATAAACAAAAGCCCAAAACAATGAAAGAAAACCCCCAGTGCTATTAAAGGAAAGGAAAATGCCCCAGTGGTGAGTTGGCTTGATCATTCAAAGGATTGTATAGGCACGTCCAGTGGTATTGCAGCAATGATCCAGAAATTCACTGATAGAGATACAACTAGCTGGCTAAATGCTGTTATCTCATAGTCAGGTAGTGTTGAGGAGGGAGGTGCAGCAACACTGATCTGAATTGCTTTCTGCCATGGTGTTTGCATCATGCACATATTGCCAGCTCTGTGGGTGGATAGTTGTCTCAAAAATTCAAACGGAAGGTAGTACCAAGGAAGGGCTTGGGTAATAACAATGCTGTTTGTCTCTCTCTGCTATAGAATAAGATTTCAAATACAGTGTGAGGAAGTCCTAAGGGAGGAATAAGTGAAAATAAGTGTGCTACCCTAAAGGCTTTGCCTGAATACCAAGCTACATAGCCTAATGTAATTTAAACTAAATGACTGTTTAGGGGGTGTTTTGTTAGTCAGTTGTGTGTTTTCTGGTGGGGCATTTTATTATTTTTGTTTGCTTTTTTCTTTTCAAATTTGCCTGATGTTGGGTATATTTTATTTAGTGAGCTTTTAAAGTAATTTTTGCCCATTTGCAAATTTGGCTAGCACAGTACTGCATAGTTTTGCTGCCAGTTGGATTTTTTAAAATGAACATTCAGCATACAGAATATTGCATACATTGGTGAAGTTCTGGAACAGTGAGACAGTGAACCTTCAAAGGAATAAAATATGCCTTGCATTGGAAAGAAATTTTTTTTCACTGCTTACTATAAATAATTTATTTACCTAAAATTCATGCTTCTCATAAAATGGGGTGCATGCATCATGAATGCAGAATTTGCTGTGGTGGTATGGCTAGTATATACAATACATGGGTAAAATATGTTGCTGCTTACTATACTGAGCAGTTGACTGAAGTTTTCAGACTTTCTGTATTAATGGTAATAGCCTGGAATAGGAAATGCTTTATATAAATTGCAAATAATTTCAAATGCTTAGCGGTATACCTTAAAGCATTTTTCTTGTGGCAGTTAGCCATTTTTCTGTTATGTGATTATAAGTGGTGTTGAACACTGAGTTTTAGAGTTCGCAACAATCTTTCTGTTTTCATTTAAAACAATATTGATCACATGGTCTTATATTTCTCCAGGATTATTTTAAACTAATATAAAAGGTTTGAGAATCCTTTTGTTCATAAACTGGATGTGATTGGCCACTTTGAAATATTGTGTTTCCTTTAATGTTAAGGATGAGGTATGCTTTAATATCTTTGCAGCAAGAAATGTTCAACTGTGAGACAGGTTACTCGATTTGATTCTGCATTTCTGAATTATTCTCTGGGTGAAAGGTATGCATAGCATGCCTGTAGGCGAAATAATAAAATTTCAGCTTCATGAGACTTGCCTGATGGCCCTTCAGAGGCTGAGTCCTCTACCTGTCCAACAAGATACTGAAAGATATATGCCAGCTCTAGCATAGTGTGGGATTGTGCAGTTTCTTGCATATGTCAGTAGTCCCTCAGAATAACGCACGTTCATAACAATTCTTTAGTTTCAGACTTGACACAGGAATTTTTCCTGAAGGTTGTACATTTCTGCTTGTATTTGTTTAAAACCAAATCATACAGAAGTCTCTGACTTGTGACATAAGAGTAATCTCTTGTATAAGAAAATCTAACACAACTAAAAAGCTACTTCCATTTGCTTTTTGAGCATTTCCTGAATGTGTCAGTAGATTATATTACCTTCAGCCATCCTTCACTAAACAATCTAGAACATAAAATGTAGACCTAACAGAGTATCTCAGTAAGATTTTCCAACAAGTTATTTTGCTTCATTTCA